TTGTTTTTTTTTTTTTTTTTTTTTTTATTATTTTTTTTTTTTTTTTTTTTTTTTTTTGTTTTTTTTTTTTTTTTTTTTTTTTTGGTTGTTTTTTTAACAACGAGCGATGAATAAGACCAAAATTGCATTTTAAAACGTAAGATAGAGGAGGATGTAGGTTTGTTTTTGTTTTTTCTTTTGGTTTTTTAACGACGAGAACTTAGAGGACAGTAAAATATTAATATTTGTATAATCGCCAAAGTTATGAGAGTCGTTTGAATTATGATGAGATCGCCATCCACTGGACACGAACTACATAAATGACTGTGTCGCCCCAGATCTCAAACTCAAGTTGAAATCCACTTTGAGTGAGGTTAACTGCATAGATGTTGAACCTCATATTTTTGTCCTCCGCCACATCAAGAGTTACCGGGCTGAGGAACAAAACGGGCACTTTAGCGTACGGGGTCTCAAACTTGACCAGTACGGGGACTTTCTTTGCCGGATACATGGGCCACTCCACAATTCCTTTCTCGATGTGGGGAGCATAATAACTTAGTCGCTTTTCAAGTTCTTCCATGTAGCGAAGCTGTTCGACTGCGTTCGGCAGTTTTACCCTAACCCTTGCAGTGGCGTTGAAGGTTACAAAACGACCAACGGAATCTAATGCATGCACGAAACACGTGTAAACCCCCTCCTTGTCCTGGTCCGGTTTTGTCCAGGTCAGCTGTAGATAAGGTGTCGGACTCGTCTGGTCGTTCAGTGTGACATTCCCCGCGACTGCAAGAGAGTCGGTGTCATCGTAGATGACCGGACGATCGTCAGCGGTAGAGATGGTTGCCAATGGCGAATCGGCCCCTTCTGTAAATAAGAAAAAAAAAAAATTAGTGTTTAAAAGTGTCAGGTTAGCTTTAAACTAGTTAGAAGTAGACGTGACATATGACGGTGATTGATCCCGATTTCCAAATGGCAAACACATTTTTTTTCAACTAATTATTTTGTGGAAATTTGTTTTAACTGCCTATAATACACTTACAGGCTAAGATACGCCTACTGTCTAAGATACACCTACTGTCTAAGATAAGCCTACTGTCTAAGATAATATACTTACTGTCTAAAATAGGCTTACTGTCTAAGATTCGCCTACTGTCTAAGATATACTTACTGTCTAAGATACGCTTCAGAGCCGTTCTCAGGAGTTTGGGGGCCCTAAGCATGGAGCGTAGGTTGGGGGCCCCAGAAGGGGGGGGGGTCCGATCGCTATTTATACTTTCCCATTCCCACGGCCAAGCCCCCGATTTCCTGTCTACCACCCCCAAAGCTCCCCACTGCTGCTTCCCTTCCCCTGTCTCCGAATTCAACTCAGAATGATAAATTTCAGGATGAGGAAGGTAACGTGAGTGACACAGACGGCTGCAGTGCCAGTTTTAACGGGGGATCGAGGGTGCGTCACGGGGGCCCCTCACGTTCGGGGCCCTACGCGGATGCGTAGTCAGCGTATGCCTAAGAACGGGCCTGTACGCTTACTGCTTAGGATACGCTTAATGCCTAGATGATGATTTTAATAGAATGTGTTGGGGTTTTTTTCATTAAAAAAGTTTGAAGGCCCTCCCCTTCAATAACTTCTAAATAAAAACATTTAAACAATGATATTGAACACTTGTTTTTCATGCTTTAACTTTTTTTTTGTTGAAAATGTAAGATGATCTCACGCTTCGATATCATAATCACAAAAATTGTTGTAACCGACTTGTAAGTTTGACGCTCGAAGGAATCACGTGTCTTCTGTGAAACATCTACACCATTCTGAAAGAATAAAGAAGAAGTATGAAAATATTAAGTTTCTTGATTTTTTTTTTCTAGTGGCCTCATGTATTTAAGTTGTGATGTGAGAAAAAAAAAAGTATATATAAATGCATTTAAAATCTTAATAACAAAACTTGAGAGGTGGCACAGTTGGGGGGGGGGCGTCTGAAAAAGCCCACGCAACGACTCTGCCCGCCTTAAATGAATATCTGTGAGCACCACTTCTCCCCTTGAGAACATAATGCAGACAATGTTCTCTTCCTCGTACGTGGGGAGGAATCGGGGATCCGCCCTGAATCTCAAGTCTTGTATTGCTGTTGGATTTTTTAAATTTTTATTTTTTTTAATGAACTTCAATAATTGAATGTCGGAAGCTCTTTGGAAAGGCCACTCCGACTGCGTACCTGATTCCGATAATTTCGTATTCTCGGAGGACTATAATTAAATTGAGAGGTGTGACTCGATTGCTCAGGTGAAATAATTTTTCCTCGATTCTTGTGTTTTCAGAATCGGGCGAGTGATCGGTTCTCTTCAGAACTTCTAATTCTATATTATTCAAAATTGTGTGAATCGTATCGCCTGTGTGCGTTATTCAACGGTTGTTTATGATGTTAAAAAAAAAATTATGTGCCATGATGATTGATTACTTTTATAGCGCTTGTGTCCGTGCTATTTTAGCGTGTTCGCAGCACTCTGATGTCATAAAATCTGCTTAAAGAAAAAAAGGTAGTTAAATGTCTCTTAAATGATTTTTTAAAAAATCCCTTTTAATTTTCCCTCAAAGATTGAGGCAAACTGTTCCATAATTTAGGCGCTATAGCTTCAAAAGAGCGCGTCCCCCTTATGACTTCTTTCTGTGTCCATCCACACTGGGAGCTCTCAGCAGAGCCGTTCTTAGGAGTTTGGGGGCCCTAAGCATGGAGCGTAGGTTGGGGGCACCGAAAGGGGGGGGGGGTTGGTCCGATTGCTATTTATACTTTCCCATTCCCTCGGCCAAGCCCCCGATTTCCTGTCTGCAACCCCCAAAGCTCCCCCCCCCTGCTGCTTCCCTTCCCCTGCCTCCGAATTCAACTCAGAATGATAAATTTCAGGATGAGGAAGGTAACGTGAGTGACACAGACGGCTGCAGTGCCAGTTTAAAAAAAAACCGGGTGCCTCACGGGGGCACCCTCACGTTAGGGGCCCTACGCTGATGCGTAGGTAGCGTATGCCTAAGAACGGGCCTGCTCTCAGTAGGGACTGTGATGAAGAGCGCAGGTTCTTTAAGGAAACGTTTTTGGATATCAGTTCTTGTAGATGGTAATGTTGGCATCTCGGTGAATTATAAAACCAACAACTGGAGAAGGTTCGCATTTGAATAAGAAACTATAGCTTGCTCCCTAAAGGCGACGAGAATGGATGGTCTTTTTACTGTTGTCTTACAATTATTTAAGTGTGGGAGGAACGAGTTATTATAAAGAGAAAAACAAAAACATTTAATACTTGAGATGATCACTCACATCAAAGGAACATTTCAGTTCCAAAGTTTTCGAAAAGAACACTGTAGCTTCTTCAGGATTTGCAGTGAGCGAGATTCTTGAGGCTAGGAATACAAGCGAAAACATTTTCATACGATTAGTGACTGGTCGGTATGTACGTGCATGTATAATAAATGTACAATGTATCCATGATTTTATTTAAAGTTGAATGTCTATGAAATATAAAATAAAATATTTATCTAATGAAAAATGCACGTATCTCCCCAATCGTTTCCACGCTTTCCCAAGGACCAGCTCTGATAAGTCGCTTTCCCAAGGACCTGCTCTGATAAGTCGCTTTCCCAACGACCTGCTCTGATAAGTCGCTTTCCCAAGGACATGCTCTGATAAGTCGCTTTCCCAAGGACCTGCTCTGATAAGTCGCTTTCCCAAGGACCTGCTCTGATAAGTCGCTTTCCCAAGGACCTGCTCTGATAAGTCGCTTTCCCAAGGACCTGCTCTGATAAGTCGCTTTCCCAAGGACCTGCTCTGATAAGTCGCTTTCCCAAGGACCTGCTCTGATAAGTCGCTTTCCCAAGGACCTGCTCTGATAAGTCGCTTTCCCAAGGACCTGCTCTGATAAGTCNGGGGGGGGGGGTGGTTGGATGTGTGTGTTTGGAAATCATAGTGACATGGTTTTCGCCGAGTGACAATATGGTGAAAATACAAGTCAGGAGTTACTTGGGTGGGGGGGGGACACATGGGTGGGGGACCATTGACTTGTATTCCCAACACATTGTCACTCGGCCAAAAACCATATCACTATGATTCCCATTTTGTTCTTTTATTTTATTTTTTAGAAATAGAATAAACTGACCAACTGAAACCGACATGGTCCAAAACAATAGTACGGCAGCGGCTGTCTTGAAGGTGTTCATCTTTGAGCTGTGTAGCTTCCGTGACTGTCCCTTCCTATAACAATGTACAGATTTAAGAGTTTGTCAGTGAGAAGGATCAGTGTTAGTGATAGATTATTAACAAACTGGTTAACACAACAGTTGACCATACGTTGTGAACAGGGCCGGACTGCCAATAGGGCCAACCAAGGCCATGGTTAGGGGGCGCAACTGTCAAGGGGGGGGGGCGTTTAAACAGAAGAAATAACAACCAACTATTTACATATCTTCAGTGTTACTTTTATAATACCATATAAAATGTTGTGGTAGTGTAGTGGTGTAGTTATGTAGTAATGTATGTGTCGTAGAGTAGCATTGTAGAATAGTTGTGGCGTAGTGGTGTATAGTGTAGTTGTGTAGTAGTGTATTGGTGTAGCAGAGCAGTGGAGTAGTAGTGTAGTAGCAGTAGTGTAGATTTGATTTAATTATAGGATGTGGTTCAAAAATTATAAAGATTGTTTCATATGATTATATGAAAGAAATAAACTATTTTATACTGGTATTATTATTATAGGGCTTAACCGGGTGCAGATTTTTACGCCGGGTCCGGGTATTTTAAGAGGAGGCGGGACGCATTAGAATAAAAAAATTAATAACAGATTCAATTGGAAGTTATAAATCAACTTTTAGAAGGGGCCGCAGAATGATGTGCTTTGGCCTAGGGCGCAGAACATATTGTTAATCCACCCTTGCTGTGTGCACAGCATTGAAAGGAAAAGAACGCTTGTGCCCTGTCATGTCGTCATGTAGGCCAGGGCGCCGTCAAGTGGAATATAGATATAGATAACACACACAGAGACACATGGACACGGTTGTGTTCATGATGAAGCATGACCTGCACTCCCGTCGTCATGGCTATAGTGCTGAATTCCATGGAAGGCTTCGTGTGTTCAGGAACCACAAGAGCATAGCTCACTTGCCCAACGTTGATCTACGTCACTTCCACAAGCTTTATGGAACCTTTTTCGCCTTCAAGACATCACAGCCGCTTCTCATTTAACCACTTAACCGTAAGTTGTGATGTGTGTGGGGGGGGGGGGGGGTCTAAATATTTTTGTTTACTTCTCAGCCAATCATACTGACTTATTTGCTTCAGTGTGTATTTAAAGCCTCTGTTTTAAAATATAGTTAACTTTTCTTATAACTTGATATTCTTTTCATTCTCTCAAACACCGTTGCAATGCAAAAATATTCAGCAAACTCGTGTCTGATATCCTGATATATTACTCGTGTCAGATATCCTGACATATAACTCGTGTCTGATATCCTGATATACAACTCGTGTCTGATATCCTGATGTATAACTTGTGCGTTACGAACATAAAAAATCATTTTCCCTATAACTTATTTTTTTCCAAACATTTAAAATGCCACTGAGACGCATTGAAACACAAGTTTAGATTTTTATCCTCCTTAAATGCCATTCACGTTTTGATTTCTTCAGATGAGCTGAAGCATAACTTTCTCTCTGATTTGAAATAGTTACGGCTAAGGTAATAATAAACGGGAAAATAAAGACTGTTAGTTTTAGTCATAACACGTAACATAATTGTAATAATTTGTAAATCATACTCATAGAAAAACTTGGGTTCAAATATTTTTTTAAATGTCAAATAATTTGTAAAAAAATCCGACTCTAATGAGTCTTACGGCCTGCGACTCCATCGGCGACTTCTAAAATAAAACCGGAAAAAACCAGGAGCTTGATAGTACAATGTTTCATAAATGCTTAATGTGTAGTGTGGAGAGTTCTGACTACGACGGCGACGGGGGCGTCTGACCCACGACGGCGCCGGGGGCGTCTGACCAGGGATTACCGGCCGTCTGACACTGTCTGACCAGGTACAGCCGGCGCCATCTGACCAGGGATCACGATCGACGGATCAAGCCATCTGACCAGGGCATTTACCTGGGACGTCTGGTCGGTTGGTAACCTGGCGCCGATGGAGAAAAAGGGGCGGGGCGAGTACAGACCTGGGAAGGGAACTCTATGAACCAGGGACTTATAAATAGGGACCTCTGGACGGGACGAGGGGGAGCGCGGCCGGATGGTATGAGAGAAGGCGGCCGGACTGAGAACTAGATAGCAGGGAGAAGTCAGAGTTGTGAGATGAGAGAAAGAGTAAGCAAGGTGACAGCCCAATAAAGAACACGAGTTTAATCATCAAATGTTATCACCGGAGTTGTTTCCTTATTGAGTACCAGATCTAGATGAAGTTTATCAGAGAGTAAGCAAGGTTTCCTTACAGTAATATGCTATCGTTTATATGTCATTTTATCTTAGTAAGTTAATAAATTATTGGGAAATATCACATATGTGCGAACTGCATAAATAAGCCTGACGTAATTATCTAGACACGTGATGAAAATGTTTTTAGAACAGTTAACAATGTCATAAAAAAAAAAAAACATTTCGTATTATCAAGATTGATCATGGCTTTGTGCGTATACTTACAAATTTTTAGAGTTGCTGTGGAAATTTCTATCAAAGCTTTGTGTTCTCTCTACAGTCTGCGTCAAACGCAATGTTTAAATACAAGATTGCAAATGTATTTATGGCAGAGACAAACTTAAGTCCTTGTTGATTGTATCCTGTTTTCCAACATATTTTTTTTATTATATCATATTACAGTTCTCTCCAAAAATCCCACGCTAGCCAGCCGATGTTTCCATCCGGCCCGCGATATCTACTTTATTATCTGAAGTGTGAAATGTGCAATTAATCCTGAGTCATTCAGACGCCTCGTGGTGTTCAAGTCTGCGAAATGCCATTATAAAGTTATAGCCCCTATAGACCAGAATTTATTTCCTTGTCTAAAGGGCATGGAAGCGCAACAAGCAATTAAGCAAAAACTGACCCTTAGTTAGGGAATTAAGGGGAAGGTTTTCTAAAATAAAAAAATGAGCTCAGAGAATAGTCAGAGAGTAGAGAATAGTCAGAGAATAGTCAGAGAATAATCAGAGAATAGACAAATAGAGATTAAAGAATTGTCAGAGAATAGAGAATAGCCAAAGAATAGTAAGAGAATAGAGAATAGCCAAAGAATAGTCAGAGAATATAGAATAGTCAGAGAATAGACAAATAGTCAGAGATTAGAGAATTGTCAGAGAATATTCAGAGAATAGATAATAGTCAGAGAATAGTCAGAGGTTAGTCAGAGAATTGAGAATAGTCAGCTAATGGAGAATAGTCAGATAATAATCAAATAGTCATGGCATACAATTATTGAGGAGATAAAATAATAATAAAAGATTGTAGGAACATCTAAAGTTAAGTATTGACCCTCATCAATATTCCTCCTCCTCATCCTCATGTCCCTTAGTCCTTGGACCATTGGGGCGCCACAGATGACATGTGAACCATCCTCCTCCTCATCCTCATGTCCCTTAGTCCTTGGACCGTTGGGGCGCCACAGATGACATGTGAACCATCCTCCTCCTCATCCTCATGTCCCTTAGTCCTTGGACCGTTGGGGCGCCACAGATGACATGTGAACCATCCTCCTCCTCATCCTCATGCCCCTTAGTCCTTGGACCATTGGGGTGCCACAGATGACATGTGAACCATCCTCCTCCATTCCTCTCTGTCTTCAGCACTACGCACTGCATCGCCCAGTGTTAGTCCTGTCCACTCTTTGATGTTATCCTCCCACCTTTTTCTTTGTCTTCCTCTTCTTCTCCCTCCTCTTGTGGTCTCCTGCAATATTTCTTTGGCAAGCCCTTGTTTCCTTGTTACGTGGCCGTACCATTGTAATTTGCGTTTTTTCACAGACACCAGTAGGTCATCGTACTCCCCAATTGCCTGACCAACCCTTTCTTTCACTGTATCATTGGAGATATGGTCCCTATAGCAGATGCCAAAAATGCCTCTGAAGCATCTCATCTCCATCGCCATTATTTTCCTTTCAAGATCGGCTGTTAATGTCCAGGATTCGCAGTCATATACGGGAAAATGGAGAGGACTAATGAGCATATCAGCCTGATTTTGGTGCTGGGGGCTATATTTTTGTCATTCCATATTTTCTTGAGCTTTTTTAGTGCTGTTGTAGTCTGCGCAATCCTGGACATCAGTTCGGGCTTGGAGCCTTCTTCTGAGACTATTGCTCCTAGGTATTTGAAGCGGCCGACAGTCTCTAATCTTTCCTCCCCGACCTTAATTTCAGTGGTGATGCCTGCGGTATTATTTGTCATCAGTTTTGTCTTTTCGGCATTGATTAGCATGCCGTAGGACGACGAGGTCTAATCGAGACGCTTTACCAGGTCGGCTAGCTCTTCTTCGTTCCCAGCCAGCACGTCTATGTCGTCCGCAAAGCGTAGGTTGGTGATTGTTCTGCCACCAATGCTGACTGTCCCTTCATGCGCTTCCAGAGCATCTGACATAATTCTCTCTAGGAAGATGTTGAATAGGGTGGGGGAGAGCAGGCAGCCGTACTCCAACCGTGGTCTTGAACCATTCTCCAATGTTTTTGAGGAAGACTGCACTGGTGGCCTTATCATAGAGGTTGCATATCATGCTGGTTAGGTTTATGTTGATGTTGTAGTGTCTCATGGTGGCCCATAAAGCAGCATGCCAAACCTTGTCAAATGCTTTCTTGAAGTCAACAAAGACGTGGTATAGATTTTGTGGTGTTGAGCATATTTCTCACATAGTATTCGGAGGTTGATAATCTGCTCACTAGTCCCCGTCCTTGTCTGAAGCCCGTCTGTTCTTCAGCAATGATTCTTTCGGCACATGGTTTTAGTCGGTTCAATATGATCTTGAGCATGACCTTGCTTGGATGGCTTATTAGGCTAATTGTGCGATAGTTTTGGCACAGCTGTAGGTTACATTTTTTGGGCGGGTGACGATGAGTGATTGGGTCCATGGTTTGGGCCAGTCTCCTGTAAGCCATATTTTGTTACTCATATTGAATAGGGCACTTATCATTGCTTCTCCTCCTTGTTTCATCAATTCGGCAGGGATATTTTCCACTCCTGCGGCCTTTCCTGTTTGGAGTGCCTGGACTGCTGCTTCTACTTCTGCTCGGAGAATAGGGTAGTTATCATTGTATGTTGCTGGAGGGACATTAAAGATCTCTGGGTTTATCTTTATACTTTCATTATAAAGCTCTGAACAGTATTCAGTCCATCGTTTGATGATATCATTTTCTTCAGTCAAACATTTACCATTTTTATCCTGTATGGTAGTACTACGTCCTTGTTTTGCAGTGGTTAGTTCTTTCACCAACTGGTAAGCTTTTTTGCTATTGTTTTGCTTCAAGCAATTTTCAATGTCGTAGCATTGCTCTTCAATCTAGTTCTTCTTTGCCCTTTTCATACCTTTTTTGATGGCTTGATTAACTGTCCTATATTTAATGGCCCACTCTGTATTTACCATTTTTGTTTTCTTTAACTGCCTCCGTTTATCACACACATCAAGTACCGGCTTGTCAGCTGTCACCCATGGTTTTCGGGTTGGCCGATGTTTACCGAGGATGTCGTGAGCTGTGTACGTCACATTATTAACAAAATAAAATTATTATTTATATTTGTGTGCTGTTGTTGTTGTTGTTTTTTTGTTGGTTTTTTTTTATTTTTTTTTATTTTTATTTGTCCTCCCTGTTGAGGAAGGCAGAATTTTATTGATGGATGAAAATCTACATATCAAGGGAAGAGAATATGGTATATACATTTTTTTGGATGACAATATCTTTCAATCCATTGATATTACAGCCATGAAAAAGAGGTGTTAGATTTTCTTTTAAATAAGTAAATATATGTTATATTAATTAAGAAAATATAGTTCAAAGGCGTTGACAAACAGGTGGTACATTTACTTAAGTGTACGCAAAGCTAACACCATTATAAAAAAACAACTCAAAATCCAATCATTTTACATACCTGAAAATGTAATCTTAAAAGTATAGACCTCAAGTCATATTTTTTCTCCATTTACTCTTCATGTGAGTGAACAAAAGTGGGTTAAGATTTTCTTTTAATTTAAGAATGCGTGTTTTTTTTTGTTGTTTGTTTTGTCCACTTTGCGTTGGTAGAGTAGCAATCAAAGCGTTAAAACGGATTATCTACAGGTGACATGGGCGGAGGCAAAGATCTGTGACGCACGGCAGTATGCATATTCTTGTACAAGCATTATACATACTTGGTCGTGTTGTCAGGTTGGAGAGGCACTGTCAGTGTTCCTCTTCAACTCCCCAGAACTCTGGATATGTTACACTACACAGAAAATATTGAAATACGTGTTCTCTATTTAATGCCGCATAGCGAAGAAGGTATCGCTGATTGGCCAAATTGTGACACCTATACGCATGCGGGTACGCATCATTTTTGGTTGAATTCTGGGGAGCGTATCCATATAAGTGCTGATAACGTTTAGGAAACCTTATGGAAGGACACCCGTTGTTTTCATCAGCCCCATTTTATATATATATATATTTTTTCATTCCGTAAATTCCCTTTACAGTTCTTTCACAGTTGCTTCAACATGGTGTCATATTTGTGATCACTGATGGTGATTACCGGAGAACCAAAGGTCTTGACGAAAAGGAAAAACAAACTAGACAAAGTGTAACCTATGACCCTGACTTAGAGCTTATAGAGTAAGGAATACTTGAAATAAATAAATGTCTTTTTTAAATTATTTTTTTCTATCAAACGATTTTCAGTTTTCAGCAACCTAATGGAGACTTTATTTTTAACACCTCCGACAGAAGTTCAGCATGCACTGGATGACATTTAGGTAAAGTACGAGAGCATCCAGCCGTCAAAAATGACGAGCGCACACGAGTAATTCCTTCTTTTTTTGTATTTCGGAACTTTTATTTCTACTCGCATTTCCATCTTGTAAGCATGCTCAGTGTAAATTTTTGTGTACACACGTGACATCTCGTTCAATCTATTCAGGTTTACCTCGTGCATCTCGGTTGATGACATAGTGTTACAGGGTTATACCTTTTAATGTGCGTAGACGTGTCTCCTAAAGAGAGACTTTTTGATAAGTTTTTTTTTTAATATATTTTTTTTATTAGTGTGAAAGGCTTTCTTTCTGCTCGCATCTCCATCTTGTTTGTCAAATCTGATTTTTTTTCTATATATTTCTTTTCTTTTTTTCCCGATAGTTTGTCTTGTGCTAACCTGAATGTTTGCACCTGAGTGACAACATCGCGTCTGCTTCGTTCAGTGAACGGCGAAAGAAGGGTGAGTAGGGGGAGCTCAAATGAATGAGAGTTGTAAGATTTTTGGGGTTTAAAATGATAATTCTTTTGTCGATAATATAGGGCAACAGATATAAATTTTAATACTAAAAAATTGAAAATAAAAATAAAGAAAACCTTATTTTAAAGACTTTCTTTTTTTTTTTTAGAAGACGATTGAGTCTAAACACTTAAAAGTAGAAAATAATTTTCTTAAAATTCATAATGCAAAAAAAAAAAAAAAGTTGCTAATTTTTTTTATATTTTTAAAAATATTTTATGATTTAACATGTTAAATGCATTTTTTGTGTACATTTTCAAGTTCGGTCGAAATGTC